TATGGAATCAGGCAGAGCCTGGTCTCTGGCTGCTGCTTCAATCTCACAGCATTACAGCCACCTAAGCTTCTTTTCTGTTTTTCAAAGATGCCAAGCTTGTTCCTGCCTTAGGGCCTTTGCACTGACTGTTCCCTCAACCTAGAGGTAACTGCCCCCGGGCTTTGCAGGTCTGGTTCTTTCTGGTCATTCGGGTTTCAGCTCAAAAGATCTTCTATGGTCATGCAATTCAAAGTAGTCTTTCCTTCCCTCCCCAGGCCCTCCTCTCTCTTGCTGTCACTATCCTATTAGCCATCATATGTCACCCAATACTTGTCCATCCATAAAACTTATTTTTACATCTTTTTTTTCCTTTCTTTTATTCCCCTAGTACTGGGGATAGAACCCAGAGTCTCACACATTCTAAGCAGGCACTCTACCTCTGAGCTACATCCCAAGCTCTCTCTTTCTTTCTTTCTGTAGTTATCTATTTATTGGTACTGGGGATTGAATCCCAGGGCACTGAACTACTACTGAACTAAAATACCCAGCCTTTTTTGTATTTTATTTATATACAGGGTCTCTCTGAGTTGCTTAGGGCCTCGCTAAGTTGCCTCAGTCTCCTGAGCTGCTGAGATTACAAGCATGCACCACCGCACCTAGCTCTTTATTTTTAACTGAAGATATATGCAGATCACTGATACAAAATTTTAATAATTTGAGGATAAAAAGTGTCTTTCACCTCCCTGTTACTCAGACACACAGTTCTATTTCTGCCCAAAGACAATAATTATTTCTACTTTCTTATATATCTTTCTAGATATATTCCCTAAAATAACAAGCATATATTCTTTTATGATGAGTAATGTGTGTGTGTGCGCATATATATATATATATATATATATATATATATAGTTCTGCACCTTTTTGTGCTTATTAAAAATACTGCGAGCCAAGCACAATGGTGCATACCTGTAATCCTAGCATCTCTGGAGGTTGAGGCAGGAGGATCACAGTTCAAGGTCACCCTTAGCAACTTAACAAGGCCCTCAAAAACTTAGTGAGAACTTTTCTCAAAATAAAAAATTAAAAGGGCTGGGGATGGAACTCAGTGGTAAACCACCCTCAGGTTCAATCCTGTGTGTGTGTGTGTGTGTGTGTGTGTGTGTGTGTGTGTGTGTATAGAGAGAGAGAGAGAGAGAGAGAGAAGATTTTTCCATGCCAGTACATTTCTATTGATTTCTATTCAGCATTAATTGAAAGAAATTCATTCCCTATCAATGGGCATTTCATTATTATTATTTTTGTTATTCCAAAATGACAAGTGCTGCCACAACTAGCTTTTTTTTTAAGTTTTAAAGATAATATTGTTAATTTTTTTTAGATTTTTTTTTGAGAGAGAGAGAATTTTAATATTTATTTTTTAGTTTTCGGCGGACACAACATCTTTGTTTGTATGTGGTGCTGAGGATCGAACCCAGGCGAGCGCATGCCAGGCGAGCGCGCTACCACTTGAGCCACATCCCCAGCCCCCCACAACTAGCTTTGTACTTACAGCATTTGCACTTGTGTAGGTATACCTGGGAGTGAAATTGCTGGGTTACAGAGTGTTCATATTTTCCAGTCTGATTGTGCCAAATTATCCTACTGAGTGGTCATACAATGTGTTCTTCCCTTAGCAATGACATTATCTTGGTCTTTTGTCTGATACTTGTTTGTGTCCCTCCTCTATGAGAATGAACAGTGCCTTGTTGATCATTCTGTCTCCAGAGTGTTGCACATTACAAACCTTAATAAATATTTGATGAATAAGGAATCCTCATGGTAAATAATCACCAGTGTTTGCTCTAAGGACATGGTCAGCATGTCACCATACTGTGTGACTTGCTTTGTCTGTACTGGGAACCATTTCTTTTATTTTCTTTGTACCAGGGATTGAACCACTAAGCTACATCCCCAGCTCTTTAATTTATTTATTTATTTATTTTTGAGACAGGGTCTCACTAGGTTGTTTACAGCCTCACTAAGTTGCTGAGTTTGGCTTTGAACCTGCAATCCTCCTGCCTCAGCTTCTGGAGCTGCTGAGATTACAGGCATGCATCATCTCGCCTGGCTTCTAATTGATTTTCATTCATGGTTCATGATTGGAGCAGCCTCCATTCTACAACACAGAATGAAGTCTTCCACTGGGCAATAGTGGGAGAGTGGGTTTTTAAGGCAGGAACAAGGGAACAGAACAATAGGGGAAAAGTTAATTGGTTTTTTGTTTGTTTGTTTTGGTACTGAGGATTGAACTCAGGAGCACTAGACCATTGAGCCACATCCCCAGCCCTATTTTGTATTTTATTTAGAGACAGGGTCTCACTGAGTTGCTCTGTGCCTTGCTGTTGCTGAGGCTGGCTTTGAACTCTCAATTCTCCTGCCTCAGCCTCCTGAGCTGCTGAGATTACAGGTATGTGCCACCATCCCTGGCATCAGATGACTTTTTTTGACTGTGTGTTGGAAATTTAATCCAGCTAGGGCTTCAAGTGAGCTAGGCAAGTATTTTACACTGAGCTATAGCCCCAGTTCATATCAGGTTACTTCTTTGGTAAGGATTAAAGCAGCGGGGAATTCCTTATTACACTCACTTAGAAATCTTCTGTTCTCCAGAACAACTGATCTGTTTTGCGATCTAGCTACTTCTCTAATGATTATGTGGCATTTAGCACAAATAACTCCATTTTGATCTCTTCTGCTGGGCCCCAGTGTAGGGGCACAGTCCAAACAATGGCCTCCCACAATTTTGTTTAACAACCCTATCTCCCAATAGGACAACAGTACAGATGACTTTAAGAGGATTGTGTTCTCTGTCAAGCACATAAGCATATAGGTACTCAGGGGTCTATGAAGCACTTGGATTCTGAACAAATTTTCACTGTTAGCTCAAAATATGCTACGAAAATTAATATTTATCAAATGTATATAAATGTAGCAATATTTAAGTTATTAACAGTAACTCAACTATAATTTTTATTTAATATAGGATATTGCCACATTTCAATATATTTAATATAATATAGGATGAGACTTTCAAATTTGGAACCTGAAGAGCTGGGATGTAGCTCAGTTGTACAGAACCTGCCTAGAATGTGCAAGGTCCTGCGTTTGAAAAAAAAAAAAAAAGTTGAAACTTAAAAGTTTTGAAAGAGTCATGTCTGTGCATACAAGTTTTCTCAAAGGAAGAATACTTATTTGACAAGACTTCATCCTCTTTGATCCCAAATGTCCTCATCTTTAAATGAGGATCTTCATAAAAATATTCATCCCAACACTGTAAGGACAAAATGAAAAAAATTGTTATGAAAGGGCTAATAGGTCAAATGCAAAGTAGTAGTGGTACATGATTGTTTTCAATCAGCTAATGAAGGGCTGAGCAATTGTTTTATTCATTTCAGCTTCCCAGTTAGTATCAACTAGGTGCTTAGCTCCAGGGCACATTATTCAAGTCATATTAACTTGAAAAAGTGCCATCCACAGAAAATAAAACGTGAATTGTGTGTTCTGGCTTTACTTAGTGGCATAGTGCTAGAGCTAAGGACTCAGGATATGTTTGCTGGTGACTGAATGAATAGAGGCAGATGTTAACTTCTTGCTTATTCCACTACCTCCCCAATCCTAACTCCCTCTCCAGGATACAAAGGAACAATCTGACAAAGAGTCAAAGAATGGGGGAGGAGAAAAGGCAATCATTAGCTACCTGACTTCAATGCTTCAATGAGATTTGCTTGAGTGAGTGGGTGCTGGTGGTCGTTGAGGGAGGTATGAGGAGTTACCAAAGCAAGCATCCTATTTCCAATGGTCCCCCTTAATTTTTTCCTCAAATATTACAGTTATTCTATCTCAGTGTATAAGCATGCTGGTGATTTCGCAGCTCCTGATTTAAGTAACCAGTGTTATGTTGTTCATTCATTAAAAGAAAGTGCACTAATTCCTTAAGTCTAATTTTATGCTAGTGCTGGAGGTAGAGTAGTAAGCAAAACAGGAGAGGCAGTTGGACAGGTGGCACACACCTGAAATCCCAGCGGCTGGAGAAGCTGAAGCAGGAGCACTGCGAGTTCAAAGCCAGCCTCAGCAAAAGCGAGGCGCTAAGCAATTCAGTGGGACCCTGTCTCCAAATAAAAAATAGGGCTGGGGATGTGGTTCAGTGGTTGAGAGAGTGGTTCAATTCCCCGTGCCCAAAACAAAAAAACAAAAACAAAACAAAACAAGAACAACAAAAACAAGAACAAAACAGGAGAAATACCCTATTCCTCCCTTGTGGGCAAAACAGACCATTGTATCACCCTCCAGTTGTTAACAATCACCCTAGGAGTTGGTGTTTGAATTAACAATGGAAGGGTAAGCAAGAGTGAGAGAGTGATACAAATAAAAACAAAGACAGACTTGAGAAACATGGCTCTTTGAAGAAGATCTGAAGCAAAAAAGTGAAGTCCAGAGGGCAGGAGCCAGATTATGCAAGGCTTGTGAAGTTTGTATTTTATTATCCTGAAGGCAATCATGGGAAACTAGTAAAGAACTCTAAGAAGGAAAATGACGTGATCAAATTTGAGTTTTAGAAATGGGTCTCGGATTGGAGGATGCAAAATTAGACAAGGAAACGCTTTGAGGGGCTACTGCAGCTGTCTCAAGGATAAATGAAAACGTCTTTAACCAAGGTGGTGCCAGAAGAGATGGAGAGAAGTAAGTAAACAGTGCCAGGTACATTTGGGAACTGAAATCCAACAGGGCTGGTGACAGAATTAGCCCTATTCCAAACAAAAAGAGCCCCTAGAGGAGAAAAAAAAATCACTCCTGAACCCACCAGGAGTCCCCTTTCCCTTAACTCTCGATTCAATATATGCAGATAGCTATGGGACGAGGGGCGGGGCAGGCGCCCACAAAAAATCCGGGAACCTTCATTTAATGTAGGCGGACATCAGCGTAGAGTACAAAGGAGATGACAGGTACTTCCGGTTACTCCGGAAGTGAAGGCGTCACAGGCTCTTAAGTTCCTCCCTCGGAGGCCAGCCAGAGTGACAGTATGGCCGGCCGCGCGGCGCGGCTGGTGCTACTAGCCGGAGCAGCCGCGCTAGCAAGCGGCTCTCAGGGCGACCGCGAGCCGGTGTACCGCGACTGCGTGCTTCGGTGCGAGGAGCGGAACTGCTCGGGGGGCGCACTGAGGCACTTCCGCTCCCGCCAGCCAATCTACATGATTCTGGCAGGTAAGCCCCACCCATAATAAGCCCCGCCCGTTTGGCTGTGGCCCCGCCCATAACACCCTAGTTGTTCTGCGATCTTTGACCCTTAGTTTCCCCTTCTGGTCTCTTGTAAGGGTGATTGGCTTCAGGGTTATGGGGGTCTCATCAGCTCTCTGACTTTCCCACAAGCTTTTACTTTACGTTTACTAAGTCAGACCCGTTATTTATTAAGTACTAACTGCATACAAGGCCCTGAATGACACAGTAGTCAGACCAAAGTCTTTTAATCTTTGGAGCTTTCAGTCCTTGGGGACATTAGCCTTCCCAAACAGAGAAGGTCCTAAAGGATCTTTAAATTAAGCATTAGATGTATTTGGGAGAGGAAAGAAGGAATTCTGGCTCTGAGGGAGTGGGGAAGGGATTATCTGGGAATATTTTGTGGAAGAGGGTCTTCCAGATATTTACATTAAATTTACACCCATGACTGTATTGGACAAGGAACCAACAAACTACATGTGACAGATGTCACAATAGGTCAGTTAACTTTCACCACAACCCTTTGAAGTAGTTTCTCTAATCCTAGATGTGGAAGTTAAATACCCAGCCTGAGGTCATATGGGTGGTAAATAGTTTCCAGTTCTGACTTATTTGACCACAAGCCTGTCTTCTTTTCTACGCCTTTCTATTCTAGACAGAGGGAATAGAGAAAGTGAGTGTCCTGGGAAGACCTGGGCAGCAGCTTGGATTACCCAGGGAGCAAGGAGCATGAAAAGGAGTAGTGGCAGTAAAGATGGAAAGATGGTTTAGGACCTCAGGTCAGGGTGAAGGATTTGGGTTTATTTTCATAGCAGGGACAAGACAGCAAGGACTCCTCCCTGGTAAATAAAAGTAAATCCCTTGTTGAGGTAGGTCAGACATAAACCCAATTCTCCATAGATAAGGCCTTCGATGCCAAGATCTCCATCTTGGACAAAAGGAGATGAAATATCTCTATTTGCTCACTGCATACCCAACCCTAGATTACAGTTACATATATACACATCCCTGGCCCTTGTGTGCACTATCTCTCTTCTCTCCAAGTGGGAAGCTATAATTTTGGAATTTCTTCTGGTTCTCTCCAACCTGCAGGCCCTCTTGGCCTGCATTTGTGCTTGGACTCCATTCACACCTCCTCTACACCTCCCTGGGCTGCAGAGTACACAAACCAAATTTGTCTGTTTCAGGTTGGACTTGTCATGACGACTGTAAGTATGAATGTATGTGGGTCACTGTTGACATGTACCTCCAGTATGGTCACAGAGTGCCTCAGTTCCATGGCAAGGTGAGTTGGAGGGTCAGGGAAGGATATGGCAATTATATGGTGGGAGTAAGATGCTCTGAAGTTGGCCAACACTGTCTAAGCTATTTGAGGTATGGGTGACAGATATGTATTTAAGGCAGGTACCTGTTCTCAGAATTTGTTTGTTTTCATAGCATCTGATGGGACCAATGTGTCTTGCTTCTGAATATTGAGTAACAAGACCTGAAAAGCTTTGGAGCCTCCAACTTCTTGAGGTGCCCATCTTGCTTCAGGGATAAATTCCTTGCCCCACTATGACATGTTTCTCCAATACATATCTGGATCAATAGTAATATCCCTCAGATTGCCCAGTGAGGCAATTTTTTTCTGGTGTCTTTTGATCCAGTATTATCTCATTCTAACTTGTTGAGGTTAACAGAAATTATTCTCCCCAATTTGCCACAGAGTAAGGTGATACTCAGAGCACTGGGTCAGTAGCAGAGGAGGGATTGGGACCTTTTTTTGGATAGTAGGTCTGTACTGTTTCCGCTATGCCATAAGTCATCCCATTGGTATCCCCAGAGATGGGGCTGACAGAGTTGGGCATGTTGTCCAGGATAGGGGATTCTATCCTTAGCCAGGGACTGGAGAGAAGAATTGACCTGGAGAGAATCAGAGGCTTTGACTAAAATTCAGAACTAAGACCTATAGATGCAGCGTGTCAAGAAAAGATTGATTGAAACTAGGTACAGTAGCACTTACCTATAATCCCAGTGACTCAGGAGGCTGAATCAGGAGAATTGCACATACAAGGCTAGCCTTGGCAACTTAGTGAGAACCTGTCTCCAAAGTACCACTGAGGTTGTGCTCTGTGGTAAGTGCCCATGGGTTCAATCCAGAGTACCAAAAGGGAAAAAGAAAAAAGACTGAGGATGTAGATCAGTAGTAGAGCACATGTCTAGAATGCTTGAGGTCCTGAATTCCATCACCAGAGCCCTCCCCCAAATAAAAAAGATTGGGTTGCCTGCCCCTCAGGTCCCCTCCTTCTGCTCCTTTTTCAGTGGCCTTTCTCCCGGTTCCTGTTCTTCCAAGAGCCAGCTTCTGCCCTGGCCTCTTTCCTCAATGGCTTGGCCAGTCTGATGATGCTCTACCGCTACCGCACTTCCGTGCCAGCCTCCTCTCCTATGTACCACACCTGTGTGGCCTTCGCCTGGGTAGGTAACCTGGCGGGATGCCTGTTGCACACTTCATCTAGGAAGGAGGAACTCTGAGATTCCCACTGACACCTGACAGGGCTTCCGCCCAGCCAGCTTCTCCTCTGTTTCCAGGGCTGAAGTTGCAACTATGGGGGGTGGGGGTCAGCCCTAGTGAGAAAGACGGGAAGGTGCTGAGTCAAGCTTTACCTTTTTAAAACAGTCTAGAAGGCTGTTTGGAAAGGAAAGAAGAAAGAAACATTTTTCTTGTCCTCAGAAGAAGGCACTAAAAGACCCAGTAGGGCAGTTTATGAGCACAGAAGAGAGACGGGCAGCAGGGAGAAGGCTGGGACCATGGGCTTTGCTGAGGTCCACTCTGGGGAACTTGGAGGGATCCCAGTTCCAGCCCAGGTTGTAGGCAGTAGCAGCTATAGCGCTCTTTCTGGAGCTCACCCTGGTCTTAGTATATCCCAGGGTGTGTACCATCCAAATACAGAAGGGCTCTCAGCCTCATGGTGAGGCTACTCTTTGAAGAACCAGTATCCAGGGCCTGGAACTGTGTGAAAAAAATGGACTAAAGCACAGATGTGAACTGTGACAACCTTGGGGTGGGGTCAAAAGTAAGATATTGCAGTGATTGTCTCTAGATCAGAGCCTCCCTGCTAGACCTTAAGGAAAAAGTTCTCACTCACCTTCATGCCATCAAAGCCACCACTCATTCACATATTTAGCATGTACTATGTATGTGCCAGGCACTTTGTTGGGTGCTGGGGATCCAAAAGTATATTAAAAAAGATAGGTTCCTGCCCTATGGAACTAATCACACAATCATACAATTGAATTTAAAAGTACAGCGATGAAAAGGTGCAGTGGAAGCTGGGCACAGTGGTGCATGCCTAGAAACCCAGCTACCAGGGAGGCAGAGGCAGGAGCATCAAAAGTTCAAGGCCTACTGGGCAATTAGCAAGACCTTGTCTCAAAACTAAAAGTAAGCTGAGTACAGTGATACATACCTGTAATCCCAGCAGCTTGGGAGGCTGAGGCAGGAGTTTCGTGAGTTCAAAGCCAGCCTCAGCAATTTATCGAGGCACTAAGCAACTCGGTGAAACCCTGTCTCTTAATAAAATACAAAATAGACCTGGGGATATGGCTCAGTGGTTGAGTGCCCCTGAGTTCAATCCTCGGTACCGCCACCCCCAAGAAAAAGAGCTGTAGGGTATGTGAAAGGGGCAGGACCAGCACAGAGCAGACAGAAGGCTTCCCTGAGGAAGGGAATGGGAGGAAAGATGGGAATGATGAGTGAAAGTTACTAGGTAAATTTGAGCAGAAGAGGGCTAGGGGTATTGCTCAGTGGGAAAGCACTTGCCTAGCATGTGTGAGGCACTAGGTTCGATCCTCAGCACCACATAAAAATAAATAAATAAAATAAAGGACTATCAACAGCTACAAAAAAAATTTTTGGAGGGTACTGGGGATTGAACTCAGTGGCACCCAACTATGGAGCCACATCCCCAGCCCTATTTTGTATTTTATTTAGAGACAGGGTCTCACTGAGTTCCTTAGTGCCTTTGCTCTTGCTGAGGCTGGCTTTGATCTAATGATCCTCCTGCCTCAGTTTCCCCAGCCAATTGGAAATACAGATGTGTGTTATTGCGCCCGGCAAAAGAATATTTAAAAAAAATTTGAACAGAAGACAGAATGTGCATAGACAGGAGAGAATGAGGATCAATGCAGGGCCTGAAAGACCAGAAGACCTAATGTTCAGGCAATTAGGAGGCATCTGGTATAAGACAGGTATGCAGGTGGGCAGTGGCCAAGCCAGCCCCTGGAGAGCCTAATACTTTAGATCTCAACTCTCAAAGTGTCAGGAAGCACCAAGAGATTTTCTTTCATTCATTCATTCATTCATTCAATTTTTGTGTTGGAGATTGAACTAAAGAGTTTACCACTGAGATATACCTCCAGCCCTTTTTTATTTTTGTTTTTATTTTGAGCCAATGTCTCTCCAAATTCCTGAAGCTGGCCTCACACTGTGATCCTCCTGCCTTAGCCTCCAAAGTCTCTGGGATTGCAGATGTGCTCCACCATGCTTGGCTTGCTAAGGGATTTTGAGTGAGAGTGGGGAGAGAAATGATCTCAGAATAGCTTTGTCCTTTGGAAACCTTGTTTTGTCTACTGTGTGGAGGACAGATGGGAGGGTGAGGTGGATGCTGGGGGCCAGTGGGAACATTAGCACATGCCCGGTCACTGGACTAGAGGGGTGTTCTGGTCTTAGGCGTTAAGGAGAAGTACATTCTATTTTATTTATTTATTTATTTATTTTGAGAAGTACATTTTAGCTATGTTTTGGAAGTGACATTAAAACTTTTTTGTGGGGGTTACCAGGGATTGAACTCAGGGGCACTCAACCACTGAGCCACATCCCCATCTATTTTGTATTTTATTAGAGACGGCGTCTCACTGAGTTGCTTAGAGCCTCGCTAAATTGCTGAGGCTGACTTTGAACTGGCGATCCTCCTGCCTTTGCCTCCCCAGCCACTGGGATTTCAGGCATGCACCACCATGGCCGGCTAAGACTTTTTTTTTTTTTGTAGTTATAGTTAGACATAATACCTTTACTTTATTTATTTATATGTGGTGCTGAGGATCCAACCCAGGACTTTGCACGTTTGAGGCGAGCGTCTACCACTGAGCCATAACCCCAGCCCCGGCAAAGACTTTTTAAAATTTTATTTAACAAACACATATATAGCTCTTACTGTATGCTAGGCACCATTCTGACCATTTTATAAATATTAACCTTGTTCATCCCATTACAGAATTAAAAGGTGTAGATGATAATCTTATCCCCAGTTTACAGATGAGGGAAGCGAGGGCTGCAGAGGGCAAGGAGCCAGCACTGGGTCATGAGCCAGGGCGGAGTCCAGCGTCTCCTCCAGAGTCCACACTCTCACCTTCTTGGCCATGGATAAGCCTGGCAGGGCTTAGACACAGACACGTGGTGGGAGAGGATAGGATGCAGCCATTCCCAGCATTCCTAGCTAGGGGCTCGGGAATGACACATGGGACCTACGAGGAAGCTTGGGTTGGTCAGCTTGGCTGCAGTGTGGCTGAGGGAAGAGGAACAGAGGGAGGGAGTTGAGGTTGACCCTCTGCTTTAGTGACTGAAGCTGCTGAGTATGGGTAAGGCCACAAAGGGGAATGAGACAGTGAGAAGAGAAGGAGTCGAGGGCGGAGACCTGAGGAGCCCAAAACTCGATGGCTGGATAGAGGAGGATGAACCAGCAAATGGAGACAGGGGTGGCCAGAGGAGAAGCAGAAAACTTGGAGATTATGGGATTGGGGAGCCCCAGGACAGGTCAAGAAGGAAAGAGTAGTGTGCTCTCCTGAATGATGCTGGACAGACAGGTGAGAACTGAGGGTCTGGTGGCCCGAGGACCTGAGGATAGTGTGGGCATGCTGAAAAGTCCAGGCTGAGCCCAAGATCTAGGAGATGGGCACACAGGAGGCTGTTAAACTTCTGGGAGATCCTGGGCCTTCCTTTTACTTCCTTTTCAACAAATATTAATAACAATCATTAAGGATCATAGAACACAAGCCCTGTTCCATAAACACTTCACACACATCTCCTCCTGTGATCCTTGTAGTGCGCACTTGAGCTCTGAGTAACTCTCAGAGGTGGGAAAGTTGTGCCTGAGTGAGAGCGACCAAGTCAGTGGCAATGAGTAGCCTCCAGCACTGTCTGACTCCAGGGCCTGAGGGCTCAGCACCTCTCCTTGGCTGCCGGCATGTCCTGTGAGGAATGTTGGTTGAGCACTGGTCAAAGTGGACAGAGGCTGAAGCCCCTGCCCCCGGGAGCCGAGCATAGTGTGAGTACAGATCCAGCCATCCCTGGTGGCAGGACACAGGCTGAACCCAGGAGCCAGAGAGATCCCATCCTCTGGTTGGTGCCAGGGAAGCCCAGGGAGGGGGTGAGGTGTCATTGGGAATTTGCAAGCCTGGTAGGCCTTAGACACAGACACACTGGGGGAGAGGAGATAGGATTCAGGCATTTCCAGAATTCCTAGCTAGGGGCTCAGGAATGACATATGGGACCTAGAGGCAAGCTTGGATTGGTCAGCTTGGCTGCAGTGTGGCTGTGGGAAGAGGAACAGAGGGAGATGAAATGGAGCAGAGAGGGCCAAATGCCAGGTGGGGGTAGAGCTTCTACTTTAGGCAGGGGCTTGGCACACATGGTTTTGGGCATGGGTGAGATAGAGCCACCACTTCCTGTGTAGGCCTGTCACAGGGAAGGGAATTTGGTCTTGGCCAGGAAAGTAGGAAAGTGAGGAGGTTACACCTGTCCCCTTTCCCTTGGGAGTCTTCAGGGACACTGCTTGTGTGGGCTCACTGCCTGTATCTCCTCTTTGCCTCCTTCTCTCTTGGAGAACGTGGGACAGCTGTGCCTGAACACTCTGAGCAGTGCTCAAAGCCTGCATGCTAGGGCCTCAGGTCTGAGGGATCCTCAGAAGGTCCCAGCCCTTGGCTGCCTAAAATGTGCCAGAAACCACTAGTCACGTCACAACTCTGGTCTTGATCTCCTTGTTTCTTGGGTCTTTTGTCTCAGTGGTATCAGCACTTATGGATGGATAAGCTTCCATCTTAGCAAGGGATCACCCCTCCCAAGGATACCCTGCAGTCCATTGTGACCAAGGGCACTTAGAAAAGGACCCCAGGGACGTTGAGGTGGGAGAGGGTACCCTACAGAATATGGGATTCTGAGTTTGGGGTCCTTCTCATGCCACCCCCAGGCCCTCAAGGGGCACATCCTCAGAGCCCGTACCACTTTGATGATCTAGTTGGATTTTACATTTGATCTTGAGCCTGTGTGTGTTTCTGCAGGAGGGAGGGATCCCAAGCCATTCAGAGGGCGTGACAATGGACTTTGTCCTTGGCTGGGTCTTCTGGAGTGAGTGGGGCCCCTGATTTCTATTGGTTGCAGGTGGGAAGGCCCCTCACCTACTCCAGGTTAGTCTTGCAGGAGGGGTGTCTCAGGCTTTTTCTCTGGGAGACAAGGAAACTCTTGTGCCAAAGCTGTATCAGGCAGCCCCTGGGCTGGGGCTGTAGCTCAGTGGCAGTGAGCTTGCCTACCACGTGTGAAGCCCTGGGTTCGATCCCCAGCACCACATATAAATAAATAAATGGCATTATGTCCATCTACAACTAAAAAAATAAATATTTTTTTTAAAACATAAGGCAGCCACTGCATTCCCCTGTAGGCTTGGGCTTGGGCTGGGCAGCAGCCGGGCAGAGCTGAGGAGCCCACCGAAGCTCTGTACACTGTGGCCCTTGGACTTCACAGAGCAGGGGGCCCTGGCTCTTTGCCAAAATTAGAAGGGTAAACCAATTTTTCATCCCTTCATCTAGTGGGGAAAAGCCCCCACGTACAAGAGTGAAACGAAGAATGGCAGGGAATCCAGTCTGTCTCTGTAGTATGATTTGTGGAGGTAGGCACTGATTATATCATCCCTGTTGAGGAAACTATGAGAAAAGATAGGCTGAGGATATAGCAAAATGATGGTAGACTTCAGGAAGGACTTCCTGACCATCAGATAAGTCAGTGGAACAGAAAATCAAGGAATTCTTTGGAAAAAGCCTCTATCTCTCAGGAGTGAGCTGGGACAGGCTTGTCTTGCCTGAGGCATGGAGCGAGACACTGTGGCCTCCGTGGTGGGGGCAGTAGGCATCATATTTAACATTCTACCTCCCCCACTTCTGAGACACAGAGCTATTTAAAGACTCACTTGTCCCCACCACTACGGTGTCAATGACAGCCCCTAGCACTGGGGCTTAGCACTGGGGTCGAATTCCTGACAGATCTGGCTCACTTGGCATCCAACCAGTTTCACGGCTGTGATATTTTTGTCTCAATTTTCTTATTTTCCAACAGACTGAAACAGCCTCCTGCTCCCCCCACCAGCTTTTCCTGTCCCCCTCATCCCCACCCACACTGGCTCCCTGCCCCTGGCTGCCTCCTTTTCTCAGTGTTTGCACAGAGTTCTTAGTGCCTTGGGCCCAGCCATCACCCTCCTGGCCAGTTACACTGTCTGCCCCCTCCCATCCCACTAGGGCCTGGCCGAGAAGCCTGGGAGTAGTGGTATGTTTGTATCTTGGGACTGTCCCTTCCTTCCACATCCATCTGTCCCCTTTGCTTGTGTCTTGATTACAAACTCTGAAGAGAAACAGGATCTGTTAGGTCCATACTGGTGGGATTGTGGCTCAGGAGCAGGGAGCAAGGGGCTCTTCTCATAGCTGAGACATCTACAGGCTGGGATCCATGGGGCTTCTTCTGTCCCATAGTCTAACCTTGAATTTGGTGACCCTTGAGGAAAGGAGAATGGGGATGCATGGTGGGGGTCTGCCTGTACGTGATGCAGGACATGGACATTTATGGAATCCCTGCCGTAGGCCAGCAGTGATAGTAGTGGCCCTTTCTGGAGTGGCTGCTCCGTGCCAGGCCTTTGTGACATTGTCCTCACAGCCCTCCTGTGGAGGAAGTGCTGTTTCTAACCCCATTTCCTAGGTGAACAAATAGCTGGAGCTCAGTTACTTGTCCAAGAACACATAGGTAAGCTGGGCAGGAGGCACACACCTGTCCTTCCAGCTCCTAGGGAAGCTGAAGCAGGAGGATCGCTTGAGCCCAGGAGTTCGAGGCCAGTCTGGGCAGCATAGTGAGTCCCTATCCCAAAAAACAAAATCCAACAAAACAAAAGAAAACTCAGTTGTTTAGGGGCTGGAGCAGTACTTGAGGTCAGGGTCTGTCTCATTGTAAAGACTCTGTACTTTTCTGTCTCCGGCCTGCACCTGTGGGGGTGGGATAGCAGCAGGGGAGACCAGTTTCTCAGCCTAGACCACCTTAGCCTGGTGGGAGATTGAGAGGCAGACTTGTTCTCGGTGGCCTTTGGGCTGTGGGAGAGCTGTGAGAGTTCCATGCTGGCCCGCCGGTAAAGAAAATAGCAACTAAGGCTTTAAACCCCATCCTGGACACCATGCTGCATGCTGTGTTTGTACAGGTGCTCACTCAATCCTGATCTACACTGATATTATTCCCATTTTACAGATGAGACAACTGAGGCACAGCAAGGCTAAATAACTTGCCTAAGGACACACAGGAAATGCAGAGCCAGGATTTGAACCCTGGCAGTCTGGCTCTAGGGGCTGCATTGTTAATGACACAACTTCCCAAGTCTGAGGGAAGGGTCAGAAGAGGAGCCCCATATGGGACACTCCCAGGGGAAAAGGGCCATCTCAGGGGTGCAGAGTCCAAGCTTCAGGTGGGTCTCTGTAAGTGGAAGGCACCCTGGGGAGGCAGGTGGACAAGGGACCCAGCAGCCCTGCCCTGTGTGGAGCTGAAGCTTGGCCAATGCACTTCCACCTCTGCTTTCAGTGTTCCAACCGCCACTTAGCTCAGTCCTCTTGTCACCTCCCCCTTCCTGTTGTGGGTGACAAGGAGGCCTGGCTGGCTGCCAGTCCTAGCTGTCTTCCCCTCCTCCTCCCCACACTGGTTCCAGGGACACTGTCCTTTCTAAGGATGTCCCTGTGCCTGGTCTGCCTGACTGCCTAGGCCTTGTGTCCAGCCCAGGGCCTGCTCCTCTCCCCACGTTGACCATACACCCCACAGACTCTGGGGGAGTGTCCAAAGAAGCCACCAGGGGTAGACTCACTTCCTAGCTCCAGACTGTGCCTCCATGTTGTCCCTGGGGAGGAGCCTCGAGGCTGGTGGAAGGGGCAGAATGGCCTTCCCTCAGGGCAGGAAGGCTCTGAAGACCACTCAAGCCAGCTGGTGACAAGTCCCAGGGGAGATCTTGGGCCTGGGGGAGAGGAATGGGAGTTGCCTTGGGCCTCTGCAGCCTGGTAGCATGAGGGTGCCTGACTGGCTTTGCCACTGAGCCCTGCCCTGCCTCCCCCTGGGTCCCCCCACCCTCCTCCACTCCCCAGGCCTGTCAGGCCCCACAGAGAGGCTTCTTCCCTTGCTCCCTCTGCCCTCTGCCTGGCCAGTTGTCCTGGCACCTAAGTGTGCAGTCTTTTCCATGTCCGGCAGGCCGGGCCCACCCTGGACACCCCTCCCCAGCTCCGGGGCAGGCCAGGCCTGGCCCCCGCTCTTTCTTCCTGGGACTGTCTGTCCCTGGCTTCCCTGCTGCTATTTGTAGCTTCTCCTCAGCCCATCCCTCCCCGAAGAAAGTGCCAGCACCACCTCCCAGAAGACCTGGGGCTCATTTACAGGATGGTTCTTACTCTCTCAATGCATTTAATTTCCAGGAAGAAGGCCTCAGATATTCCCCTGGACCCTGCCCACTGCAGCCCCTTCATTCCTGCCCTGCTCCGCCCAGGTCTTAAGAGCAGCTCTGGTCTGGCAAGTCAGGCCGGCCCAGCCTGGAGGAAGCTGGGCTAGGCTGCCACTGGAGTCCTGTCCTAGGACTGGGCCCAGTGGGATCTGCTGGATCTCCCTGCCTTGCTTGCTTTTGGGGCACGCCCCAAGCTGGCTCAAGCCTTTTTCCACCCCACCCACCTCATTCCCGCCCCCAGAGGCTGAGGTCACCAGCTCCCCTGGGCCCGGGTGGGGCTGTCATCACCTGGCAGTTGGAGGAGGAGGTGAGGCCCCTGGGGCCTGTTGTCTTAGTGATTGAGTAACCAAGGATCTTGGCTCTGCCAGAACTGGTTCCCAGGCCAGGCTAGAACATGTGGAGGCTGCAGCCCCCCAACCCCTCCTCCATGGCCTTAGGGGCTGGGGATGATGGGGAGTTGACCTGAGGGGACTGGGCTGGGCCTGGATGGGGGACACAAGTTTGTTTTTCCAGGGGCATGGGAAAGCACATTTCTTGCCCCCAAAGCCCCTTCCTAAAGATGAGGTGGAGAGGGACCCTGGGGTCTCCCCAACCTTGGGGCAACATGTTCATTGGCCCTTCCGTCCTCAGGTGTCCCTCAATGCTTGGTTCTGGTCCACAGTCTTCCACACCAGGGACACCGACCTCACAGAGGTGAGAGCCCTCATTTCCCTCTCCTGCATGGGACTGTCCCCAAGAGCCCGGGGGTGGCAGAGCAGGGCTCGGGAGTGCAGCTGCCCTCGGCTGGGCATTCTAGAACACACTCGAGCTTCCCAGCCTGGCGAGGTAGGGCTGATGGTTAGCTCTAACCATGAGGCAGCTGAGCCTTGGGACGCGAAATCATTTTCTCAGGGCCACCTGGTGAGTGAGGGGCTGCAGTCAGGGTAGAGTGCACAGCTAACAGACCCAGGCACTGGGCGTCGATGGTAGGTTCTCCTGCCCCACAGCCTGGCAGAGCCCGCTGCTGAGCAGCACACTGTAGGCTGTGAGCACAAGGGTCAGTCTGTCACCTCCGCAGTGAAACAGCAATAGGCAGAAGGAGCGGGAGAAGAGACCCCTCTGGCTGCAAGGTCAGGCCCTGTCCCCTCCCTTCCTCCACCCACAGTGGCTCATCTGGGCCACAAAGCTGTTCAGTCTCCAGCAGCACTCATGGGCTCCCCTTGTCCTCAGAAAATGGACTACTTCTGTGCCTCCACTGTCATCCTCCACTCAGTCTACTTGTGCTGCGTCAGGTATGCCTGTATTGGTGGCTGCAGGGACAGACTCAGGACCGGGGTCAAAAAGTGGGGTGCTGCCCCAGGGCTGCCTTCTTTGGTCTCCCACACATCCCTGCTGTCCTGGATGGGGGTTCTGCAGAGGACTGGGTGCCCTGGCTCCTCACAGGGAGCTGCAGCACTTGGCCAAGGCCCCGGGGGTGGGGTGGGTGGAGTTCTGCCCCAGCGGCCTGTTTTGGTGGGGGAAAGGGCAGTAGCTTTAGTGAACTCACTGATGTTGGGGGAGGAGAACTTCAGGGAGGGCTGCTCTGGTCATGGGCCACCTGCCACCACGTAAGCAGCTCTGGGTGGTGGGCAGGACCGTGGGGTTGCAGTACCCAGCCGTGGCCAGAGCCTTCCGGGCCTTCCTGCTGCTGCTGCTGACCACACATGTCTCCTACTTGAGCCTCGTGCACTTTGACTATGGCTACAACCTGGCGGCTAACGTGGCTTTCGGTGAGACAGAACTGAGGCGTTGGGTTGGGCCATCTGCAGGACTTTGGGGTGGGCATGGTGGGTGGCCCTTCTCTCTTCAGAAAAGACAAGGTTCTGGAGAGAGACTTGCAGGGAGGAAGGGGGAGAATTTGAAGTGGGAGAGAGGGGAGGCTGGGAGGAGTGTCTGAGGATGGTCCCAGGGTCAGAGAGCACGGGAGGGGTGGCCTGAGGGAGAGGCCCAGAGAGTGAGCCTGTCCTGCCTGTGGCACCCAGGTCTGGTGAATGTGGTGTGGTGGCTGACCTGGTGCCTGCGGAACCACCGGAGGCTGCCGCATGTGCGCAAGTGCGTGGTGGTGGTCTTGCTGCTGCAGGGGCTGTCCCTGCTGGAGCTGCTCGACTTCCCACCCTTCTTCTGGGTCCTGGACGCCCATGCCATCTGGCATATCAGCACCATTCCTGTTCACATCCTCTTTTTCAGGTTGGTGCCATCCCTTGCCCGGTGTTTGCCTTCCTTGTGCCCAGTCCCTTGACAGGTCCTAAAAGAGACTGGGGACCCCATGTACTCTCTCACCCCTTCCCGATGGCCTGCGCTCACCCCCCTTGCCCAGGGAGCTTTAGAGCTGGGTTCTTTAGTGGGCTCCTCCCTTGGCCCGCAGCTTCCTGGAAGACGACAGCCTGTACCTGCTGAAGGAATCAGAAGCCAAGTTCAAGCTGGCCTGAAGACACTTGGAGTCGTCTGGTCCTTTCCTACTGGCTTCTCCTTCCCCCTCCCACCTTCAGATGATTTGTTTTCTCCTTTTAGTTTCTTGAACTTGGACATGAGGAGTGTGGGCCCAGAATCATGTAGCTGCCCACCCTTTGCTGGCCCTCACAGGGCTTGGAGCCTGCCCTAGGGATGGCCTCACACCTATCATCTGGGGTCACAGAATGGGCAGCCCCTCTGGTTCCTGAAGCTGAACTGGGGTAGAACTGTGTTCTGAGTTCCACTGAGAGGAAGGCCCTTAGGGATCCAGCGGGGTCCCTTCTATTATTGGCACCCTGCTTTGGGGCACCACTAGGTGGTGCTAGAGGCCTGCTCTTTGGCTACCCGGTTTTAAGGCCAGTCTTAAGTTCCAGGAGGGATGCAGAGGGACTAACCTGCTGGGATTGGGACTGGGGAGGGGTTTCACCCTGACTTTTGCCCCAGCCAGGCTCCCAGGAGACCTCACCACACATCACTCTGAGCCAGGACACCAGAGGGCCCAGGACAAGAATCTGATGCTGTTCTGGTTGGGAGCTTATGTGTGAATGTATAGGAGAGCATGGGCAGGCCAAGTACAGAGGTGACTGGGTAGCGAGCCCGTGGCTCTGCGTGTGTGTAAGAGACAGCATGCCTGTGCACAAGCTACTGCACTCGGGCCTGAGTGTGTAGTATAGAGTGTTTGTGCCTGTTCAAGGGCAGCTAGGTATGTGTGGGTTTGGGGAATATGCATAGATTGAGTGTGAGTGTGCTTGTGGGTGTTTCTGGGATGGGTGTAAATGCAAGTGAACGTGCCATGCAGTGCTGGAAATTGGGAACAGGATGGGAATAAAGTCACCATCACCAATCACCAGCTCTGCCCAAGGCCTCAGCCAGGATGTGTACACGCTCTGAGTGGAGTCTGGGGGTCCAGGCTGTATGCCTGCCTGTCCAGTGCCCCCTTTGCCATTCCCCTCCAAACCCCACAGGGCCCCCTCATAATTTAAGATCAGTACTAGCTCCTGGGGGCAGAGTGAAGAAGGAAAATGGGGATCCTGGGCCTTCTTCAGTCTCCCTGTCTCCTCACCTAGCACGTTTGGCCTTTCCTCCCCGGTTTCCTGCTCTAGCCCCTTTGCCACAGCCTGGACTTTGGTGTGTGTCTGTGTGTGTGTGGGGGGTGTTGCACTGTGAATTCTAGGGACAAGGGAAGAGAACTGTGGCCGAGTCTGGTTTCTGCCATCCCCAGAGGCACTCACTATTCCAGGGTGACCCCAGGGAAGGCAGGAACCACACTATGCTTGTGTCCTTATAAAGGTGACCCCTAGCAACTGCCAGCAGCCCTGGCACTCCCTTGCCCCACAAGAATAGGGTATGTGGCTTCAGAAACTTTCCATCCTGAAGGCAGTCTGCAATTGAAGCCAGAATACTGTTGTTTTGCTCTATCTCTGCTCCCTAGCATAGGGAGCTATGCTGAGACTCTAATCTCAGAAACTTAGGTGGCCCATGTGAGGTTCTTTTGATACTAAAAACTATTTGAAGGCAGGATGGTAGTGAGGATGATGCTTAATAAACCAGTTCCCCTCACCCTCCCTTTTTCAGTTCATTTGTGTACATAGGGTAGGCTGGAAGGAAGGAAGAGCTGGCTGGAAGCAGTAGACAGAGGTGGGATCTCTACCTAGGCATTGGGGGTGGGAATGGTAGGGACCAGATGCAGAGCTGGGCAGGGTTCAAGTCCATCCTAGGGGAGGGAGCTGGCACTGTTTTTTTCTTTCTCACATCCCAGGCCTGGATTGTAATACTCGCCATTCACACCCAGCACCCTGGCAATCTTGTCTCCCTGCTTTTCAGCTTTGAGTCTGCAGGCTCCGCTACTGCTTGTTACTTAACCTCTCTGAGCTTCACCTGGAAATAGGCTAACAGGGTCCACCACTGAATGCAATGACTGAATGACATGACAGATACAAGAGCCTGGCATACAACAGGTACCAAATGAGCTCCCCTGAGCTAGGCCTTCCCTAGTTTAGGAAGGATGAGTAGTACAGAAAGCTACCTTCATGGAAACTTCTGGAAAAGAAGAAAGGCTAGGGTTGATGCCTCCCACACCCCTATACTCAGAAGATAACTCTGCACCCTTGTTGCTTCCCAAGAAAGTCACAGATGGTACTGACACTTGACTGCAGGGAATGATTTCTTTATTAGGTGCCACACAAGTAATAAGGGAATCTGGTAGGTGAGGACCACAGGGCATTGGGCACACTGGACGCTCACACCTCCACCCCCACCTTCTTCTGGGCCCAGGCAAAGAAGATGCCCTTGACATCATCCACGCCTGTCCGGAGGTGGGTAGGCATGATGTAGGTGCGAAGGTCCCGTACCTCATAGCCACTGAGCACCAGGGCCTCCCTCACCTCCTCCTCACGCACAGGCACCACTGCCAGCCTGGCCTTCCCAGCCAGGTACCATGACTCCTCTAGGGCCCCAATGAGGAGGAGGTGTCCCCCAGGCCTGAGCAGAGTGGTGATGTGGTCCAGGGCCCGCTGAAAGCTGGAAAGGTCTGGACTCACAGCTTCCAGGCAGAAGGCAGAGACTAGGGCATCAGCAGGCAGAGGCGCCAGGCTGGCAATGCCCAGGGGCTGGGGTTGGTGCACATCAATGGGCAGGACCCGCTTCACTCTGGCTCGTAGCTGGCGCTCCTTCTCCTGCCAGGACTCACTGTGCAGGGGGCACAAGCAAGGCTCAGGACTGCCCCATTCAGTCTCTGCTGCTCCCCTCCAGCCACTCCATGGGAAGGCCTGCCCCCACCTCCAGCCCTTACCCCTTTCCCTCAATGAGGCAGACGTGCTGGCTGTACACGCTCCAGTTGAAAGCCCCTGGCTCCTCACGCAGCCAGAGCCCCAGCTCTTGGCGGTTGACCTCCAGGAAATCTGTCATGGTAATGTCTTCAAAGTGGGCGCAGGCACTGAGCAGCTGATATATGGTAGGTCCTGAACCAATATCAATGAGGGTGCGGCCAGCCACCTCACCTGGGAGGGCAGTAGAGGAAAAGGGTCTTGTGCCAGGTCTGCCCAGGCACCATAAGGCAGGCATCCTCTGCCTTAGACAACCCTGTCTCACCTGCTTCTCCCTCCCTCTCCTGAGCTCTTCCACCTGGATAAGAGGGTCTCTCTGGAAGACGCATTGCCTCTGCAGTTAGACTGAACAGGGCTGTCCTGGGTCCAAGCACTCACTGATTTACCTTGGAAAAGGAACTTGGCTTCTTTGAGACTCAGGTTCCACATCTAGAAACCTACATCCCCAGTGAGGATTACCAGGGACAATCCTGAGACAGGTGGCTTTTCTCTCCCTCTTCAATGACTTCTTCCTCCTTTTTTTTTTTTTTTTCCTTATCAGTACCAGGGATTGAACCCAGGGGTGCTTAACCACTGAGCAACATCTCCGGCCTTTTTTACAAAAATATTTAGAGACAGGGTCTGCTAAATTGCTGAGGCTGACTTTGAACTTGCCATCCTCTTGCCTCAGCCTCCAGGCACTGGAATTACAGACCTGCACCAGGCATTTTCTCCATTTTTTTCCTCCCCTGTCTCTCTCCTACATTCCCCAACTGACTCTGAATTGGGAGCATTTTCACCCACCCCGCACCTTCTCTTTCCACCTCTCTTCTCTCCTGTAGCGCTGCTCTTTCTCTTCTCTCTGCACTTGTTAAAAAATTAAAATAAAGGACGGGTTCTCACTGTGCGGTCTAGTACTCCCTGGCTTAAGGGTTTCTCTGCCTCAGAATCCCCAGTAATTGGGACCACAGGCAGGGCCACCGCGCATTAGGCCCTCTTTCTCTTCTTGTACCTATTACCTATCTCAGTTTCTTGGTCCCTATTTGGTTGGTTCCCTTCCTCCCTCACTTCCCTTTCCCTTTCTTGATGACAGGTCCCCAGGACTCCAGTGTGCCTGGTGCCTCAGTGTCCTGGTACTCACCTGTGGCGAAGGTTTGCGCCAAGCAGCGCAGCTTCCAAGGCCCGACGCCGTCCGGGCTACTCAGGTCCCCTCGAGGGGGCGTATAGTTGTTGCGCAGGTAGGCTCCGGGCTCGAAGCGCTGGTAGGCCGAGGCGACCGCAGCCCGGCCCGGATCCCAGTCGGTACCTGCTGTGTGGCTCCGGTCTGCTTGGCTCATACCGCTGGTTTGAATTACCCAAAGTTTGAATTATGCCCCTTTCCCCAGTCCCCACTGCCCGCCTTGTCCCCCGTCGGTCTGGCGGCCCCTTTATCTACCCCCGGACCCCCGCCCGACCCCTCCACTGCGGGGGCGGGGGCTGAGCGATGAGCTGCCCCGGGCCATGCGCGCCCGGTGGTGGCCACCCCATCCATCTCAGTTAGTGTCGAAGCAGCAGACACGCCGGTGGTGTGGGGGCGACCGCTGGAACATCAGTTCCTGCCCCACCCTTGCTCCACACTTGTTCCCGCAGCCCTCCACCCTTGGCCTCACCTGCCCGGGTCCCAGTCCTGCACCCTACCTCGACTCCCGACCCCCTGTCCCACAGCCGCGTCTCCTCTCTTCACCAGCTCCAGCTCCCTGCGGCCATTCACCCCTTTGCCTGGCATCCCATCCCTTCTTTTTTCTTTTTCTTTTTTTTTTTTTTTTTTTTTTTTTTTTTTTTTTTTTTTTTTTTTTTTTGGTGCTGGGGATTGAACCCAGGGCCTTGTACAGGTGGGTCAAGCACTCTGCCAACTGAGCTACATCCCCAGTCCCCTCCCTTTTTTCTAAGGTTTGGAATTGCTCCTGCCCCCAATCCCTACCTCTAGGAAGATCCCAGACTCCTATCTGGCTCCCCTTCCTCTAGGACACCCCTTCTAACCCCCACCCTTTCCTTATTAATGTCACCCTGACTCCCATCCCTCCTCCAGGCCACTATCCCATCTCTGTTCTCCAGTGCCCCTCCCCACCTCTAGAAAGGACTGTCCGTTCCAGTCTCTGCCTCGGTTGCCCGGGGCCCCAGAGTCAGGTTCTGCCCTTCCCGTCCGATGGCAGCAGCGATAGGGGAAGCGAGCGGGGATAATGAACTTAGCAGGCGAAATAATGGGCCCCAGGGATCCGAGCTCCTTATCTGGGGGCTAAGGACAAAAGGTTCGGGATGTTCCCTCTGCTTCCCGGGACAGAGAACACAGGTCAGTGCAGTGACACGTGGAGCATTCTTCGAGCCACCTGGCCACTAGGGGGCGCAGCCCACGTGTTCAGTTTCCTGTGGGTCTGGGGTCTTGGACCCCTTTTCCAGCCCATACTCTAGCTCTTTCTGGGACTCTGGCCAAGCCAGGCCTGCAAGTCCTACTTGGTGCTCCAGGTATCCAGCCGGCAAGATGCTACAGTCTTCCCTCCTACCCCCCAAGTGAGAAGCCAGTTCCACTCTCTCCATGTGCATGGTCTTTCTGAAACTGGACTTCTCTGGATCCGAAAGGTGCACCTCTACCCAGGGTAGGCTAGTGGTCTCTGCCAAGATCAGCCTCTGGCCTCCCTTGATCCAGGCCTCCTCTGGGCTCTCTTCTTGTCCCAAGGGGGAAACTTCCTTGTTGGGTCAGACAGCTAGGTTGGGATATGAGTCATCATGACAGCTGCAGGGGTCATAGACAGGAACCTGACCCCTGTAACCCCTCCCATAAAACCCACTCAGGTCAGGGAGGGTGGCACATCTGACCCCAGGCAGGATTGATTCCGTCTGGATTTGCAGCTGAGTGGCCTTGAGGTCACTGACCCCATCCACACTCTGAGGCACAGCCAAGGACAGTCCTGGTGCTAGCCTCCTCCATGTTCGCCACGAGATATCATTTAAACAAACCCTGATGCCAGCTGGCATGCTGGGCACTGCCCAGTGCCAGGGACTGAATTCGGAAGCCAGGACTGGGCAGTGGAGTTAGGGCACAGGAAGGGGACTGGACAGACGGCAACTGTGTTTACAGTTCTGCCCTGCACCCCACCCCCAAGCATGGGGTGTACCCACAGGCTTTACCATATTTAGTTCAGAGGTACAGCCTGGTCCCAGAAGTGCTGGGGGCATAAGGGGGACATCGATGGACTGGCCCCCACAACCACAGGAAAGAGATGAGACTGGAACATGGTTGAGCATTTATTGCAGCGCTAACAGAGGGTGCTGGGGGCCCCGCCCTGCCTCTGCCCTCTTCACGTTCCCCTTCCTCCAGTCTTCTTGGTCTCCATCCCAGAGCATTCCGCTCACACTTGTCCTAGTCCTCCTCCAAAGCTGAAACCTGGACCCGGGTCACTGCTCCCAGGGACCTCTTGCCTTCACCAGCATCCCTTATCCCTTTTCCTGGTGCTGAGGGTGCTAGACTGTGCTGGCGCCCAGCTCTCCAACCTTAGTGCCCACTGTCTTTGCTCCCCTCCCTTTGGGAACTCAGGGGACCCAGGCATCCAGGCCTCTGGCTCCCTCTTCCCATAGCCCCCAACTCTGGGCAAACTACAAAGCATCCATGGCCAGCAGCTCCCCTCCACGGTCCTAGCCAGGAAGGGCCCAGCCCAGGGTAGGCACAGTGGAGTCTGAGTCACAGTCCCTCTCAGCCTCTCTGTGCTTCCTGGGACATGGAGCGGGACAGGGTACGACGAAGGGTCCCAGGCTTGCTGACGGGCACCACAGGGGGCAGCTGCTTGGTGATCTCGGCCACATCCTGGCGCTCCAGGCACTGGCCACCCAGGGCTGTCTCCAGTGCCAGCAGCTCCCGCAGCTGCACGGGAGTTTCCTCGCGCTCCTCCTTGGCAGCCCCCACCTTGGTGGGTGTGAAGATGGGCAGGGGTAGCACCCGCTGGTAGGGCAGCTGGTACTCTTGCAGCCCGCGGCCCAGGATGCCCATACGCATCACCAGCCAGGGGGAGCGCTGCACCAGCGCCTGGCACTGCCCCTGCCGATGGTAGGTCTCATGCCGCTGCGTATCCTCCTCATGCAGGGAGCAACTGGAAGCAGAGGGGAGGGGCAGTGAGCTCCTGCAAGCTGCTGTCTTTCAGTCACACGGGCTGTGTAGGGGGCTCCCTGGGGCTGCCAGGACCGGGGCAGGAGGGGCGATTCCACTCTGCTCTTCCCAGTAGGCACTCTTCTTGCCCTACCCCCAGAAATTTCAGGGGTTTGTGCTCTGGCCTCATAGGACTTGGGGAGGAGGCTTTGGGACACAGAGGCAGGACTCCCAGCGGACCCACACTCACCCCTCCTCGGGCCGTGTGGACAGAGTCAGATCCTTCCACTCAGCCCAGAAGGCCTCTCGGCGCTCGCGGTTCTCCTCGGACACCTGGCAGCACAGCTCTGAAGTGGCCATGATCACTTCTTGCTCCCTACGCTCTGCTCCGCACCTCCCACATCCTTTAAATAGTCTCCTTCTCCCCTTCTCTGGGGGCTATTTTTGGCCCCTCTGGCGTCAGATGCTATAAGCAGAGCCAAGGCTCACTGGTGGGGGGGGGGGGCTCTGAGTCTAGGACAGGGCTTGGGGCTTTTGGACTCTGGCTGCCCCCAGGTCAGAGGTTAGTTTCTGAAGGGAACAAGGTGCTCTGGTGGGCGCAGGGGTCTTCAGATCAGCACCGCCAAGCATCTGACACTCTGCAGACACTATCTCAAACCAGGCACATGCCCAGCCTCGTGCTACCTTGGCATTGCCCTCTGCCCCGCCTGTTCCCCTTGCCCAGGGAGGACAGCACTTGTCTGTAAACAGAGCAGGAGAGAGCAGGGACTGATGCCCCTCGCTCTGTTGCAAGACTGCCAGGTCCCCCCCCCACCTCCACTTTCTCCTCTCCTGGGCTCAAGGGCACATCCTCAGCTGGGCCCCCTGGACTGGGAGGGACAGTGCACCAAAGTTCTGGTTCCCAACCACCATATATTATCAGCAAGGGGAGTGGATGCCACCCCCACACCTGGAGTCCTGCAGCATGGACCTCTGTCAGGGTTTTCCTTCCTTGTGGTCAGTGGTTAGAGAATGGTCTCTCTAAGCAGATCCAGTCAGGGTGGAGGGGGCATGTGGCCCTCGATTCTACCTCTGACACCCATGCAAGGAGGAATGGGGTGAAGTGGGAACACAGGGGCTCTGAGGAGGAGTAGTCAGAAGACCTGGCTGCAGTCCCAAGTCAGTCATAAACAGGCTATGTGACTATGGCCCAGTCCCTGTCCCCTCTGGGCCTCACTTTCCCTGTTTTCTGGCTATAACAGGATGGCCAGAAGAGCTCTGGGGGTGGGACCAGCAGTCATTCGTGGGGAGAAAGGTAAACCTGCTGCCCAGCACCCCAGGGAGCAACTCATGGTACAAGAAGCTGGTGTCCAGGGCATGGAGGCATGAGGAACGAGGGAGTCACAGAGCGGAGCAAGCAAAGGCCCTGAAAGAGGTAGTGACAGGAGCTGAGGATGGGGGCCAGTGGAGATAGCAGAGCTCCCAGCTGGGCCGGTCACAGACCTGCATGCTGACTGCTGAGGCACTACACCGATTCTGCACATCTAATCTCCCGATCCTGATGCTGCTTCCATTACTATCAAGTGGGAAATGGAGGCTCAGAGGTAGATTTGCCCAGGGTCATACACCTGTTCCTGGGACCAAGATAGGATCACCCGGCTCAGAACAAAATGAACCATTCAGAGGACAGCAGGGGTCGGGTGGGGAGGAGGCCAGGAGGAGGGTAAGGCCCAGTTCCAAGCTGCCCTAGTGTGTGTTGGGGGGAAGAGTGGAACCCAAGGGTCCCAGGGTCCTGGGATCTCAGAGGTGCCTCAGGGACCCTGAAGCCCAGGGCCCACCTAAAGGACCTCCTGGACTCCAGACCCAGGACAATCAAGACTTGCTATGACACTGATGGTGGCTCTTCCACCTCTAACCCTGGCCCAGGGGACACTGCTCTCCTCCAACATACCAGCTGGGGTGAACCAGCCAGGGCTTGCTCCTCCTGGGTGAGCTCATGACGGGTGGCCTTGCTGCATGCTAGTGACCCACTCCTTCCCCATCCAAGGGCTGCTCTTTGATGTACTCATGAGTGAGGAGACCCAGGCCCAGGACAAGGCAGCAGAAGCAGAAAGGGCCTTTTTTTTTTTTTTCATGTGTTTAATTGGCTCAAATTACAAAGGTCCCCAAGGAGGCCTGGGGAGAGGGGGACAACCTGGGAAAGGCAGAAATTCACTACCAGCACCCACCGCCCCCTCACTTGCCCCCACTCCTCCACAGGTGCATATGGAAAAAGGTCCCAGACCCTTTAAATAACTCTAAAAAACCTTGATAACAAAGGAGGCAGATGAAGGCTCCTTCACCTTAACACTGGTGACAGGCTGCTCTGCCGTGCTCTGTCTTCCCCAGGGCGCTGGTCCTCTGAAACCAAGTCTGAGCTTCCATCCCAGCTCTGCCCCTGGCAAAGTCCGGGATGGCAACTTCTCCAGAGGGCAGGGATGTCATGTAAACATCAGCAGGACAGACCCCACTTCTTCAGCCAGCAGCCCCCAGAGTCCACATGCTCCACCCCACACCTGCTCAGGACCCTGGTTCCAGACAGTGCGGCTCAGGGCAGGGAAGTAGCTTGGGACCAAAGTGCTACCCACTGCTTGGGGCCAGGTTCTCTGTGGGCCATGGAAAGCCCAACCAGCCCCCCTTTCTAGCTCTGGAGGCTGTGGCGGCAGTACCCTGACCTGCAGGGTAGAAGAAGGGCATGTTCACACCCGGGCCCCCAATTCTCCAATGCGCTGCCGCAGGTGAAAGGCAAATTCAAACATGGTGGCTGCGAGGCTTTGGTGGATGAGGTACCGGGGCAGGCGACCCTGGAGGAGGCAGGAAAAAGTCACACCATGGCTCATTCTTAGCAGGGCCTCCCCCTCAAGCTGGCACCGGGAGGAGTGCTCTGGCCAGAATGCAGGTGCAGCTCTGGGATCCTGCCTGGGCCCTGCTCCCCACACTCCTGGTGGGAAGAACACGCTGTGCCTGGAGCTTGGCAGCAGCCACACAAACAGAGCTGGTGGGTCTAGGCTGGCAGCCAGCCACCCCACTTCAGGGCCTCAGGATCAGAGGTAAGATGGGGAAGGCCCGTGTCCTCCTGCAACTCGCGCCTAGAACACCATCTGGACCCTGCCCCATTCCTCAAGTCACGAAGTGGGCTGAGTAGGGGCCCCTGAGCAAGGCAGAGAGCCCTCAAGGTCACTCAGCAACCAAGCCAGGAGCAGCGTCCCCTCCACCCCACAGGCCTGGCTCAGCCCCCGGTGCCCACCTTGAGGTCTGTGTTAAGAATCCAGACAAAAGTGCAGACTCGAGGGTTGCTGGCTGATTTGAGCACGACGAAGCCCCCAGGACCATTCTCTCCCCTGAGGACAGAGTTATCACTGAAGGAGGGGCACACGGGAGCCAGCAAGGCCCCTGCCCACCCCATTGTCTGCTCCAGGCCCAGCTTGCATTGGGGTGGAAGAGGGAGTGCAGGTGCTGGTCCAGGAATGCACCCTGTCTCAGCAGGCTCACACCTGGTGTCCAGAAGCTGGGGTATCAGCCGTCAGTGCCACCCACTTGGTGTGCACCCCAATGGCAGAGATCTCGCTATCTTTTCAGCCCTCACCAGCTCTGCCCAGGGATGTGAGTGAGGTCAGCTCTGCCCTGCCCAACTCAGGGAGCACGTGTGCCGTCAGCCTCCAGAAGAGGGCGCCTTCCCAGGAGGCCATCAGGGCTGGGACCCAGTTCACCTCTGATGGCCTTTCATTCTCCCTCAGGCCACTGAGCACGCTTAGGCCCACTCCAGAGATAAGGGAGTTGGCACCCAGAGTGGAAACGAGCTTGCCCTTCACCCAGCAAGTCCCTCGCAGGGCCGAGAGCCCCAATCTCACATTCCAAGAACAGCGTTCTGCGGGAAGCATGAGACCCACAGGAGGCCCGCGGCTTTGCAGTCGGGGTTAGAGGGTGGGGAGAAGCAGAAGGAAGCCTGGGACAGGCACAGGAAGACCCCACTCCTCTTCCTCTGAGGGGACTGCTGCGCAGCCCAAGAGAACGGTGAGGCTAAGGGGATGGGGGAGGAGGAGGAGGAAAGGGACCCTCAGGGGACCCGAGTCTCCTGAGGCAGGAAGATGAAGCCCAGAAGCCAGATCCAGAGCAACCCCATGGCTCCCAGCCCTGCTTCCTGGACTAGTTCCCACTCTGATCTCTCCCAGCCAGCTGCCCACCGCACATGTCCCTCCAGCCTGGTGGCCTGGTTCCAGTCAGCAAGATTAACAGGATTAGGGGCTGGGAGGGGCAAGGCCTGGCGGGACAGGGAGCAGGAACACGACCTCAGCAGGAGAATGTGCCCAGCTGCACACACTGTACCCTGTGCTGCTCACTGCTTCCAGGAGAGGGGCTGCGGCATGATCCCAGGCAAGGCCCCGGCTCACCTGACGTATTTGTGCGTTGGAGGCTTGGCACAGTGTGTGGTGGCAATTCCTGATGAGAGGTACCGGTCTCTACGCCGCTCTATGCGCCGGACATTCACAAAGTCCCTGGGGGAGGGAAGGTTAGAACTGGGGGTACAGAGCTCAAGGAGAGCTGGGCATGGTGGCACACGCCTGCAATACCAGAAACTAGGGAGGCTGAGGCAGGAGGATCGCAAGTTCAAAGCCAGCCTCAGCAAAAAGCGAGGCACTAAGCAACTCAGTGAGACCCTATCTCTAAATAAAATACAAAATAGGACTGGGGATGTGGGTCGGTAGTCGAGTGCCCTGAGTTCAATGTCCAGTACAAAAAACAAAAAACAAAACAAAAACAGAGCCCAAGGAGGCCTGACTGTGAGAAGAGGGTGTGGGGACACTCACCTGGGAGAGACCACACCGCCTGCAGCCCCTGCAGACACGTCGTAGGAAACAAGGGTGTTGTCTTCCACCCGCTGCAGGATCTGAGGGCCCATCAGGGGGACATGAGGTATAGCCCACGCCAGGAAAGCCCCAGGGACAGTCCACATGTCAGGAACCTCCTAAACCAGCCTCCTCCCTGCCTGGGACCCAGGACTAAAAGCCATCACCCTTTGTGGGCCCTGGGCTGGGCACTCCACAAGCATGCTCCTGCTTCCCACCTCCTGCCCTGGCCCAGGAGGCACTAAGACCATCACCGCATTTTACAGAGGGGAAGCGACGTCCCCTTGTTGTTAATGGTCACTCTAGGATATGGCTGGGCCCTGACACATGTGGGGAGGCAGGGCTGACCTGGCAGGCAGTCACCGTCTTGTTCCACAGCACCATCCTCTCGGGCTGCAGAATCACTTCTTGGTACACCAGCTCCGCAGGACAGGGCAGGAAGGTCTGGGCAGGACAGGTGGAGGCGGATGGTGTCAGAAGGGCTCGGGCACACCAGCCCTTCTCTGTGGTGGGGGTGCTGCAGGGGGGTCCCTCAGCCCCTTCCTAAAGCCCCAGATGGAACAGGAGGCTCCAGGATCCTCCTCCCTTCACTCACCTTCAGGATGAAGGTCTTGCCATGAAAGGGAACCTCGATGGTGTACACAGTGTCCCCATACTCCTGCGGCAGGGACAGAAGGGTGGTAGGGAGGAGCTTGGGGTGAGTTGTGGCATGAATGAGTGACAGGCAGGACAGGTTTTCACCAGGATTTGGGGGCTATCTGAGCAGCCATTAAAAAATGGTGGTTCTGGGCCAGGGCTGTGGCTCAGTGGTAGAGCGCTTGCCTGGCATGTGTGAGGTACTGGGTTCAATTCTCAGCACCACATAAAAATAAATAAAATAAAATAAAGGTTCATCAAAAACTAAAAAAAAAATTTTTAAATGGTGGTTCTGAGGAAAGCTTCTGATCTTAAGTTGAAGGACAGGAGTCCAGCTACAGCTGTGACCATGAAGAACCACGTCTCTAAGCCAACAAGGGCTGCCAGAGGGACTGGCTAGAGAGAGAGGGGGACTGGGGCATGTTTCCCTGTTTTCTAAGCTCTCTGCAATCTTTGTAGATAATGTTGTTTTGATCATGAAACAAAACACCGGACACAGGGCAGAGCCTGGCTTCCCCTTCAAAGTGGGAGCTGAGGGCTCAGAGCAGCAGGGAGTGAGGACTGAGGCTCCCACATGGGGAGACAGGAAGTGTCAGATCCAGCCTGGGCCCCCTCTCGGGGCAGGAATAGGACTGCAACCCATGCAACCCTCAAATATATGGGCTCGGGCCTCAGGAAAGGAGTGAAAACTCTCACACACACAGGAGGGTCAGGTGGCAAAGGGGCTTCTTACATTATTCTTCTCAAACTTCCAGTTCTCCTCCTGGGCCAGGATCTGGTCCACCACGGCAGTGGCCTCCTTCCCCTGGCGGAGGTACTCTCGCTCCTGGTCAGGAGTGAGAGGCAGGAAGGGGTCAGATGGGGGCCTGATCCAATTAGACATGGGGTCTGGGCTGCTCTCCCAGAGGTCTTGGGGGCTTCCTGAGGCCTGTGGCTGTGCCAGCTCCTCCTTGGTCCCCTGTGGCATGGGGCACACCAGGGGGCTTGTCTGGCCCAAGGAGCAGTCCTGAGGTCCACCCTGGCTGAGGCCAGCGCTGGCCCCTTCAGGTGCACACTCTGAGGAGGCTCAGGGTAGGCAGCCAAATACCTGGGCAGAGAAACTTTTCTTCCCAGTGACTTCCTCATCTGATCCGTTGTCAGACCCTGTGGAAAACAAGCACAGATGACAATGGCAGGGGGTGGGGAGTGTGGGAGGGGGTAGGGCTCAGGGACCTGAAGTGCAGGGATGTGGGGGAGAGGTTGCTGGCTTTCCCCAGGGAGCCTGAGGGAAGAACAGAAAGAACAGGCCCAGCCCACCCTCGCCTCACACAGCCCCTCCCTGTAAGCTCCCCACCCACCAGCCCTCACCTGCAAAGGATTCTGGGGGTGAGTAGAACTGGCCCTCAGACAGAGCGCCAGAGAACAGCAGGGGTCCACGCGCAACAGCAGCCTGGGCAGCAAGATACCCTGGGGGA